CTCTCTCTCTCTCTCTCTCTCTCTCTCTCTCTCTCTCTCTCTCTCTCCCTCTCTCCCTCTTTCTCTCTCTCCCTCTCTGTCTCTCTCTGCTCGAGCCATCGTCTGTGTACCCGGCCGAAACAGGAAGGGCAAGGCGGCCTGAAAGTGTCGATTCAGGTTTTGATGAAGCCTGTTATCAGCTTCCTGCAGCCCGCACCAGCACGATGTCGACGGGGACAAAGTTCGGCTCTATTTCCTTTTGTCGAGGGAGAGAGAAAACAAAAAGGCTCCACCTCTGCTGATGTGCTGTGAACAGAAGCCCAGCTCGGCCCAGCTCCACGAGCCTGATCAATCACTTTCCCCTTACGACACAGCTCGAGACAATGCATGAACAACAGGGCCTGATAATAATCATCGACAGCTCATACCTATGCTGAACTAGTTAAGCTGGTTGTCCCGATACATAGATAGATAGATACTTTTCATGTCCCATAAATCACACAAAGCCCATGGGTTCTGTTGAAACCAGCGCTTAGAGGCACTGCTTAATGAAATATCAACATTTCTTGGATATCTTAATGTATTTATGGCCCCTCTCGCATTGCTCATACAGTATACTAACACACTTGTCTCCTCCTTTCCTTCCCTCCCTCTTCCTCTTCCCCCTCCACACAGTTGTGTTAATTGGGGATTCGGGCGTAGGGAAGAGCAACCTGCTCTCTCGGTTCACCCGAAATGAGTTCAACCTCGAGAGTAAGAGCACCATCGGAGTGGAGTTTGCCACGCGCAGCATTCAGGTGGACGGCAAGACGATAAAGGCTCAGATCTGGGATACAGCAGGACAAGAGCGCTACAGAGCCATCACCTCGGCGTGAGTCCACGTCTGTGTGCTGCTGATAGTCCAGCCTCAGTGGGGGGGGAATACTTAAGCAGAGCAGTCACAAGTGACACTCTATCCTTCAGACTAGATCACCTCAAATGAGGCAGATTTTTGGATATGTTCTACAACATTTAGTTAAAGAGGATGACACATTTGATCGAGGATGGGTACTGCTCAACAAGTCTTGAGCTTGTGGGTTTGATCTTCTTGGGTAAGACACAGAACCCAGGCCGCCCTCTCAATGTCCTATATACGCAAGTGCATCTGGTATTTGTCAAACATGTTAAATGTAAATTCAGAGTATCTGCAGGTTTCACAGACCAAACTTTGACTTTAACCTTGATATCTCGCATCAAATAAAAATAATAAAACAGAAAGATATTTAACTGAACACTTTAGAATGATTTTTAGGACTGAACCAGACCTGCAGACGGTTCTTGTCATCACCAGTGAAATGTTCTGATGCCGTTGTGTCTGCTGTCCTGTTACAGATACTACAGAGGAGCGGTGGGGGCGCTCTTAGTGTACGACATAGCCAAACACCTGACCTATGAGAATGTGGAGCGCTGGCTGAAGGAGCTGAGAGACCACGCCGACAACAACATTGTCATCATGCTGGTTGGCAACAAGAGCGACCTGCGCCACCTCAGGGCCGTGCCCACAGACGAGGCCCGGGCCTTCGCAGGTACTGTGACTTCCAAAAAGACACAGGAAAGCCTAAATATTTAAGCGTGGGGAGGGATTTTATAGAATTTATTTCTAGTTCTTTCAAGTTATAGATTGCCTTAACTCTATTTTTTGTTTTTTATATATATATATAAAATGTAACATTCTTGCCATTCCTGATATGAACTTATCTCGCTGCTTCGATTGTTAAGTAAACAGTTGTATGTTTTCTTTCCTACCCCACAGAGAAGAACAATCTGTCATTCATAGAAACTTCAGCCTTGGACTCAACAAACGTTGAAGAAGCCTTTAAGAATATCCTTACAGGTACGCTTGTGAACAGAGTTGGGATGTCAGAGCTGCACTGTTGTTTAAATTAAAGTAATTAAAGTGCTTTTAAAATGTCACCATAACTTCTTATACACCAATCATTCCCACACCTTTGTTTGTTAACATACCATGACGATGCAATTCTAAGCTGAAACTGTGTTGCTTAACAAAAACGTTGTCAGTTTTAAAATTAGCTGCTGATATTAACAGAGAAATGATCAACAACTGAAAGAAATGTTCATTTCTTGTAACTAAACTCTTGAACTTGTGTAACTTCCTCTTACTGTGGGAAGTTATTTTGATCCATCTTGTGCAAAATCCTAACTGAAGCATTAACTTAAAATATAAAGTATAGCTTCATTGTTTGGTTTTTAGTAGCATTGTCAGTGTGCACCTGAAACAACAAAATAGTTTAGGTGGAAATGGCTGATCTGTTTCTATTCCATGTTTTCAAAAACAGAAATCTACCGCATCGTCTCGCAGAAGCAGATTGCTGAGCGGTCTGCCCATGACGAGTCCCCAGGAAACAACGTGGTGGACATCAGCGTGCCACCCACCACCGACGGCCAGAGGGGGAGCAAACTGCAGTGCTGTCAGAACCTGTAGCCCACGGCAAACGTCCCTCTTCACCTGGGTCGATTATTAATTGATATCCAGTGTTGGTATGCTTCCATCTGCCTGGGGTGCCATATTGTCTGAATCTGCACTTCTTAGATCAGTGGAGTCAGTTCCGTTATGCCACAAACGATCAGTACCAGAAAGAGCTGCTTGATTTGATTTCAAATTGTAATCTGACCCTGACTGATGGTAAAGCGTATGTAGCGGCCACAGTTACCCATGATAGTGTAGCGTAGCAGAATAGCTTTGCCTGAGACCTTGTAAAGCCTCGACATCTCCCTGGTAGACGGTTGTTGCACATGTTAGAGGCCTGGGTTTCAAGCCTTCCCGTTTGTCGTACCAGCAGTCCTGTTTTTGGGCTTTCCTCCTTCAGTCATCATCTCAAAAGTGGTTGTGACGCTTTGCTGATGCTTATTTCCTTTTCTGTAAAATATATTCTTTTTTTGTTTTGATTTTGATAGCTTGTCCGCTCACATACATTATATTAATGCCATGAAATTAAATTTTACAATATTATGTTTTTGTGCCCTCTTTTTTTTATACCTCCTTAAATACACAAAAGGAAAAACTGTACCTGAACAGTGACTCTGAACCACCTTGTAACGCCAACGATACATCGATCTGAATCTATATATTGATTCAATTATCCAATATCCCTAATGCAAAGGGAAAACATAATACCATAATTTTAAAGATGCGCTTTTATTGTGTGGATCACCATCTCCGCCATATCGTCTCATATCGATCGCAGGTCCCTGAATTGAATCTGATCAAAATCATGTCACGTTGAACCGACTTGTTGCTCTTTTTGTAAAATATTGAATAATTTAATGTCCTTAGGCCTCAAATATTTAATTTAAAGAAACCATCTGAGAAGCCTAGAAGGGAAACCATTCTTTTGTGGAGCTAACAATTAAGTGTGAAAACAAACACTGCTTTTTTGTGCTGCCAGCCAAATGGATGGGAACCTGCAATGTATGTACTGTATGTATTAGCAATGTATTCTATTTTATAAACTTGTTTTATGTAAAATCTTTATCTGAAAATGAACTATTGTTGTAAGATAAGTGTAGTGGACCTTCCCTCTGAAAAGTAGAGGAAAATATTTATAAAAGACAAAAATTGAAGTACACAACTAAGGTACAAGTATTCTACTTAAGTAAAGTACTTTGGTAAATGTCATATTCATGGTATACAATGTGACTGTCCTACAAATAGTGAATGTTAAGGGTCTCCCAGCACAAACAAACAGGACAACAGTTCTCCCCCACAATGATTGATCATTACAGATATAGTCTCAAAGATTACATGATTATTAGAACTACCTAAAATCAAGACAAGTCACATTTCACATGATTTAGTCCAGGAGTCCCTCTTGTTTTATTGCACAATAACCCAACTTTCTGGGGGATGCAGCAGGAAGACTACAATAACACAAAATACTTTTTATAGCATATGCTGCACACATTGATTGACATCTCAGAACACATTTTTCTTTTGCACCTTTACAGAGTACCAGCCTGCTCTGGGGTATCTCTGTATTTATAATGGACAAAAGTCTGTCTCACTATTCTGAACACTGTATCTCTTCTATTTAAAATTGCATCTCTTGCGTTGTAGGACATAACTACAGTTCATTGCTAGGCAGCTCAATTTATGAATGGTGCATTTACAAGTGGAGCAGGGCTGTTTGCTAATGCACTTTGATGACAATAGTAGAAACATTATCCAATCAGAAAGTAAACACTTTTCCACACCTTCAACACTATGCCTTTATGCATTGTTGCTGCGCTGCCGTTTAACGGCTGCAGTTGGTGCCGTCCCACGTCCTACAATCGTCACTGACCCTGTGTGACAAGTGTGATAAATATCTGATGCCTTAGCTGTTCTCTACATAGGGAAATTATTTGATTTTCAACATTCATACAGCAATGATAAGCTTTAGCAGGAAACTTCAAAGGGGTTCAGATTGTAGACAACAACGTTGGTAGGGGGTCACTGTCGCCCTCTACTTGTCAAGAAAGGATATTCACAGGTAGACTTTTTCTCCTTTATTCTCCTCTGCCGGGCTATTGGCTGCCCATTGTTCAAAAACAGCTAAATACATTGTGAAGGGGCATGGGGGAATTATAGGTAGTGAATATGTTTCATATTATACTGTAGTAGCATGCTGAATCAGTTATATCCTGCTACATTAGCTTGTGTCCTAGTATTTCAAAAGTTTGTGTCACGGACATACAGTTGGGCTGGTTAGTCCATTATCCACGTCTTCAGTCGATCACATCCCAGCACTGGCTGTCCAGTGACAACTCTGCGTTTCAACACCTACTATGACTCCGGAATGAGTTCTTCCCAAAACCACCTTTTGTGGTCGGCCAATACCGTAGTAGTTTACATCAAGTGCTTCAATAAAAGAAAATGGGAGGAGGTGCCTCTCCCCTCTCAGAATGGTCCTTATGAAGTGCAAAAAAATTATTATCATGATTAATCTTGTTTTTAGGTAGTGCTTCAGTGGGCGTTATTTTTAAATATTCCTTTTGCCACCGATCTGCACTCATACGATGGTCTCGTCAGTCATTTTCTTGGTCGACTTGGTCGGCACAGAACGCTGAGTGGTGTGCCCGCCTTTCATGTCAGGCATGAGCAGGCGCACTTTCTGATTGGTCCTCCTCCACTCCGAGTACAACTGACAGTGATACCGAAATGACACCTGAGATTGAATGGGAAGAAGAGTGGGAGGGGGCAAGACAGGGAAGGGAAGAAAAGACAGACATCAATAAAACTGACACCAGGATATTTGAGACAGAGTAGTACGTGTGCAGGACAGGAATGATATGCTGACTGAAGCTGCACTTGCTACACAAGCTGCGAGCATAAGAGCTAATCTTTCACAATTTGACATTTGTAATGATTCTTTTGCTGAAGATTGAAGGGTTGGGTTTCTGAAGAAAGTTTCAGATTCAAAATACATCCTATTTTTAAAGTATATGATCAAATTACATCCAGTTAAGTAAAAGTGCAGAGTAAAGACAGTCTATTCTTACTTGTCTCACTGCATGTATGAACTTGCATGAACTATCTGGCCAACTTTCAAACAAATAACTGCTCTGTGCCAAAGATTATCAGGTTGTAATCACATCTCTCTATGCTTTGACTTTGTTCAAGTGCTATTTAAAGGTCATATTAGACCAGAAAACAGTCCCATCGTTTCTACAACAATCAAGAGCAGAATATAGATCTGTTGGATATGTGTGGTTTTCTTTGTATTGTGTCTGTGTGCCAGTTCACATTTGTTTTCCAAATCTATGTAGGAAAAATAAATACAAGAGCCAGCTTGTGGGTGTAAAGAAAAACATTCCATCTATGCCAGCGCCTCAACATAAGTAGACAAACTTCATCAACATGTTTCTTTTCTCAGTGACAGGAGAATAAGCAAAGTAATGCATTAGTTACCAGTGTCCAGAGTATGTAGATGGTGAAGAGGGCGATGGTGAGGGCGATGAGGCCGACAGCCTCCAGTCTGCTCTTCAGTTGCAGGTGGTCCTGGGCTCCCCTCAGACACAGCCAGCCAGAGATGGCTGCCAGGGGTGTGATGAGAAGGAAACAGGCCATGTCGCACAGCAGCGTGCGCTTCTCACTGCGAGGGCCTGGGTCCTTCAGCCACTGAGAAAAAGTTTAATAAAAAGTGGATTTGGTTCAACTAACAATTAGCTACAGTATCACCTTAGTGTTGTTTTGGCTGATTGATGCATCTTAGTTGGCAATGACTATTACAAATAGTCAAAAATCGAAATGGTGTAATTTCCTGCATAACTAAAATGAATGCATTGACGTAATTGAAAACTACTCTTGTGAGCTCTTATTACAAGGTCAGGCCACCATCTTATCAATCATCTCGTATCCTGAAGATGCTACTAGTTGGCACAGACTCTACATGGCTTAAATCAAACTGCCACTTACAAAATCCTTCAAATATCCGTACAAGGCCAACCCTCTAACCTGTGTGAGTGGCTGTGGTCGTCGTTCAATGGTGAATTCTGTGTGACAGAGTTCACAGTAGCTGGTGTTGGAGGAGGACAGCCACTTCTCCAAGCAGCTCTTGTGCACTTTACCCAGCGTACCAGTGCAGTCGCAGGGTGAGAGCAGTGTCTCCCCTCCAGCTCCCTCATGACAAATCCGACACATGCCCACATCACTATGGAGCAAAGTAGAGGAGACAACAATGTGACGATTCACCACAGTATCATGTGATTACAGTATATTCATTAGGGACCCATCTGAGTTCCACCCTCTCTTACCTCTGCAAGCTCACCGCTTTGACAACGGTGGAGAGTGGGCGGCCATCTTTGGCCGTCACCTTCGCAATGTACTGGGCTTGCGCAGTGGAATCAGACTCCTCCGAATCCTTGGAGTTATCAGATTCAGCGTTCCCAGAGTAATCACAAAGGGAGCCAGGGAGGTGGCAGCACCCTGACGAAGACATGGCTCAGCTGAGGACGATTGGTGACGAAGATGATAGTGGGGGCGACTTCAAAGTTCTGATCCAAAACACAAACCTCCTCCTTCTCTCCTCCTCTGTCCACCTACAGAGCAAATGCCTGGTGGATTACGAACAAGAGAGAAAGTATGAGTGACTTAAAATGACATCATAAGTAAAATATGATGTCATCCTTGCAAGCCTCTCATAAGAGTCTATAAAAGTCTCGGTGATGCCATGTGAGAGAGAGCGAAGCTCTAGGTTTCAAAAAAGCTGGAATAATTGCTTGCTGAAAATAAAACAACATTTAAATCAGTACAAAGACATGTTGTGAAGGATACGTAATACTTGAGCCCCAAAGGTACAGAAACACACCTGGAACTTTTCAATTGGAGTGATGGTGATGACTGTGGCTAAGGGGATGGGCGACTGTGGCTAAGGGGATGGCAGGGGCCGCCTTTCAATCAGAGGGTCGGCGGTTCAATACCCGGCTCCGGCTCTGCTAGTCGCATGTCGATGTGTCCTTGAGCAAGACACTTAACCCCAAAATTGCTCCCGTAGTTGTACCTACGGTGTCGAAATGTGATAGACTCTGAATTGTAAGTCGCTTTGGATAAAAGCATCTGCTAAATGACTGTAATGTAATGATGAAAAAATGCATTTTATGTTTAAAATATTTTACTCAATAGAAGTCCTTACTATGCTTCAGTAAATAAGAGTGATGTGGCCTAAACAAATTGTATTGGCAAGTAAATACAGAATGCTGCATTGCTGTGCAGAGAAAAGAC